GTCTTCCTCTTTTTCTCTGACCCTCCAGTTTATCAAGCATGATGTCCTTCTCTAGTGACTGGTCCCTCCTGACTATGAGAGATGAAGTTTGGCCATCCTGGCCTCCAAGGAGCACTCTGGCTGCACTTCGTCCAAAACAGATCTATTGGTTCTTTTGGCAGCCCATGGCACTTTCAATAGTCTCCTCCAACACCATAACTCAAAGGCATCAATTCTTCTACGGTCTTCCGTATTCGCTGTCCACTGAAAACACTAGTGGTCAATAAGTAAATAAATATATTCAATTGCCTTAGTAATCAGAAAAATGCAAATTCTACTGTGACATAGAATTTGAACCTGTTAAAATGAAAAGATGCAGCGCAAAGGGCAAAATGTTGAACTGTTAACTGAAAGGTCAGTGGTTCGAACCCACCTATTGCTCCAAGGAAGAACGATGGGCCTGTCTGCCCTCACAAAGAGCTGCAGTCTCTGTGACCCTCAGGAGCAGTTCTGCTCTGTCGGATACAGGGTTGCAAAGAGTGGAAATCATCTCAATGGTAGTGAGTGTATGAGGGGGCTTCAAAAGTTGTGGGAAAACTCCACTGTCATTTAATTTCATTTTCCACAACCTGAAGCGCCCCTGTATGTAAACTGCAGTCCTAAATGTGGAACATTACCAAACTCTCCTGCACTGATGGTGGGACTATTTACTGTGGAAAATATTTTGCTGTTATTAGGAAGAGTATCAGGGGGCTTCAAGAATTTCATGGAAAAAAATAATGCAATGACAATGGAACTTTTCCATAACCTTTTTGAAGCTCCCTCACATAGGCATGAAGTCTGAGGTTCAGTATCCACACCCCCAGGTAAAGGGAAATTCTTGCACACACCGATGTACACACAGATGCAAGAGTGCAGGAAGTAACTGGGTGTTGGCATAAGAATAGATAATGTTGTTGTTGTTAAGTACCATCAAGTTGGTTCTGACCCATAGTGACCCTGTATAGGGTTTCCAAGGAGCAGCTGGTGAGTTTGAACCACCGACCTTGCAGTTCAAATGGCTTTGCAGTCTGGCGTGTTAACCCACAGCACCATAGCCAGACTCCATAAGAATAGATAATACATTCTAACAAATCAATACAATAGAATGCTAAGTATTAGCAAAATCAAATTATCTAAAATATGTGTATCTGTTAGAATCAATAGTGCAGATATAATGTTGAATGAAAAAGTAACATGTTACAGAAAAGTCTATACAGAACCGCCTAACTTGGAAAAAAGCCCAAACATAAAAATTGAAATGAAATAACATTTTTCAGATTTTATGTAAGTGTTGAAACTAATAGAAAAGCAAGTGAATGACAAATCTTAACATCAGGTCATTGTTACCTGGGGGAGGAGAAGCAGATAATGGGATCTGGAGAGAGACCCAGGCTAGGCTGACAACTTCACACACTCATCTCTTTCTGAAACAGATTTGTTCCGGCAATGCCATTGAAGTCATTGTTTCTCTATATCCATTGCATATTTTTTATAAATATTATTTTGTTACCTTAATATTTCATTTTTTAAGGTACTGTTGTTAAGTGAAGTCGAGTCAAGTCTATCCCACAGTGACCCTGTGCAGGGCTTCTGAGGATCAGCTGGAGGCTGGAGGTTACGATTCAAACCAACATTCTGGTCTAGTGCTTTATCCTAGGCTAGCTGCTACTTGTCTTGTTGTTGTTAAGTACCAAGGAGTCCATTCCAACTCATAGTGACCCTATACAGGATTTCCGAGGCTATAAATCGTTACAGGAACAGAAAGCCTCATCTTTCTCCTGCAGAACGGCTGGTAGTTTCGAACTGATGACGTTGAGGTTAGCAGCCCAATTCATAACCACTACACTACCAGAGCTCCTTCTTTAGGAGCATGGTAAAAACTGTGCTTGGTGTTGTCATTGTTGTGAGCCATCTAGTTGGTTCCAACTCGTAGTGACCAAGGGTGACTGGTTGGTTTCAATTGCTGACCTTGTGGTTAGCAGTCTAGCGCTTATCTTACAGCTCCATAGATGCACACAACGCTGTGCTACAAATTGCTAAAAATAAGCCAAGAGGAAAGAACTTCTTCTTTACATCAGTAAAGTGTTGCTGTTGTTTGGTGTCACTGAGTCGATTCCAACTCCTAGGGACCTTAAGCACAACAGAACAAAACCCTACCTGCCCTGCCCTGTGCGGTGGTGATGGTGTGCCGTGGAGTTGGTTCCAACTCATAGTGACCCTGTACGGGATTTCTGAGGCTGTAAATATTTACAGGAGCATAAAGCCTCATCTTTCTCCTGAGGAACAGCTGGTAGTTTTGAACTGCTGGCATTTGAGATTAGCAGCTCAACTTGTAAACACTATGCTACCAGAGTTCCTTAATAAAATGTGTAGTTGTTAAGTGCTGCTGATTTTGACTCACTGAGACCCAGTATAGGGTTTCCAAGGAGTGGGTGGTGAGTTTGAGCTGTCAGTCTTATGGTTCAAATTGACCTTTCAGTCCTGTTCTTATCCCATAGAACCACACCAGGACAAAGGTCTAAGTAAAGTGATGTTGTTGTTTGTTGTTGTTGTTAAGTGCCATTAAGTTGGTTCTGACCCATAGAGACCCTGTATAGAGTTTCTGAGGAGCAGCTAGTGAGTTTGAGCCACTGATCTGGTGGTTCAAACTGACTTTCCAGTCCAGTACATTAACCAAAGCACAGGCTGACTCTCCCACTAGTTGTTTCACCTGCTAAGATACAGCCCCTCCTTTAGCCTGTGAAATGATGTGTCTCATGCCCAGAGCAGCTGTGAGGACTGGGGGAGGTGACCACATCACAGGCAGGTTACTCACGGGGATGAGGAACCTTAGAGGAAAGATCATCAGCTCTGCCTTCCCTGACCAGCCATGAGTCCCTCACTTCTCTGCCTGGTGCTCCTGTGTTTCCTGGAAGCAGGTCAGTCCTGCTGACCTTGGTGGACTCCAGGGTCAGGACTTCTCCTGGGGCGGCAACATCTGTCTCCTCCTGGGCTTCTCTCCAGCTTCTATCTCCTTCCTCCACAGGCTCCATGGACACCAAGGTCACCCAGACCCCAGGACAGCTGGTCAAAGGAACAAAACAGAAAGCAAGAATGGAATGTGTGCCCATAAAAGGACATATTCATGTTTACTGGTACCGTCAGAAGCCGGGAGAAGAGCTCAAGTTTTTGATATATTTGCAGAATGAAGATACCATTGATTCATCAGGAATGCCTGAGAAACGGTTTTCAGCTAAATGTCCCCAAAACTCACGCTGCAGCATGGAGATCGAGCCCACAGAGCCAGAGGACTCAGCTGTGTACTTCTGTGCCAGCAGCCAGTCCACAGTGCTAAAGTGTCAGCTGTTCCTGGGACACAAACTCGTCCCCGCCCAGCTCAGGAAATGGGGGAGCATGAGTGAGGTTGGTGGGATACTTCCCACCAGAAACATGACTTGAGTGAGCACTACTGGAAGGGGAAAGTCTTTAAATGAAACTCTA